GACTCTGGTCCCACACCTTTTATCCTTTCAGAGCAGGAGTCTGCAGTCTGCAGTCGCCATTAGAATGGGAGACTGGTAGTAGTGAGCTTTGTCTCTTACCTTGTGCTTGATCATGGCTTTAGAGTCACACTTGAATTCAAAACCCAGCCTAGCTTGTGACTGGGGACACATTTGGTGACCTCTGAGCCTGTTCCCCCCGTTTGTAAATGGGGAGAATACCCACATAAGGTTGCTTTAAGGCTGGGCTGACAGTGTACAAAGAGCACAGTGCTGGATGTTAGTGAGCTACTATTGTTTATCTGCATCTTCACATGAAACAAGGAAGGTGGGGGTTGGGGGGGGTGAACGGGACTGTGCCTTTCTGAATTCATGGCACTTTACATGAGCCTGTGTATACTAGCAGCTCAGTAAACGCTGACTCAGTGACAATCCTTGTCCAGGTTAGTGCCTATGGATTCATCACAAGCAACTACTGGAAATTCTCTGACCACTATTTCGAACGAATCAAGAAGCCACTGATATTCTATGCAAACCACGATCTGTCCCTGGAAGCCGCTCTGTGGAGGGACCTGCACAGGGCTGGCATCCTCTGGCTGTACCAGCGCTGACCCCAAGGCACCCAAGCCCTTTGTTCTTGCAGAGCTGTGGCCCGCATACCCTCAAGTGGCCACAACCGCCCTGTCTTCTCAACCCATGAGGGGCTCCAAGTCCCTTGACTCATCCCCTCCCTACAGATATTGAGGTGGATGTGACTGTCACGGAAGCCTGTTATGAGACCCCCCTTGTTGTCCTTGGCTCATCAAAGAAAACCCCCCTCTGGGTCTGAGACAGACACCCAGGCCTTGGTCAAGGAAAAATGGATTGCTCTGCTGGATTTGTTTTAAAACCGAAGATAACACTCCCACGATGTGACTGTGACCCTCACCAGCAAGGGGCAGGCTACTTCAGATCTAAGCATCTCAAAAACAGCAGGCGGTCCTGAGTGACTTCAGCAAGTCGGCAGAACGGCTCAGTTCAAGACCAAACGTTAGTCACACACTCCCCAGCCAAAACCTTCCCACTAGCATGTACAGCCCAACGCAAACTCCAAGGCAGTTGAGACACATCTTAACCTGAAAACATGACTAACTTACTTGTGCCCCATGATAAAGTGGGAGCACAGCAGGCAGACTGTAATTTGATACTAGGTAATTGCATAAAGGATGGAGACCATTTTTGTCTTTTTCTGTGTTGGGGGAAGTAGTATACCATGCAGGTGTAGCATGGAGATCAGAGAATTCAGAACCATGGGACGGTTCTGGTATTTGATGGGGGCCAACTGCACAGAAGGCTGCCTGCCTCTCAGGGAAGTCCCATTAGATATATATCACCCCACCTTGTCCCAGAAAGATGACACATTATCAGGTAATGAAGCCTCATTGTCGGGTATTGATCATCGCTTCAATAATTTGAACTTAGTTGATGGGCAGTTTCATTTAAGACAGATTATGTGGGCTTTTATCGGAAGTATAAGGTCTTGACCAACAGTAATCACCACACAGCCCTTCAGCAACCCTTATGACGAGTAGCTTTCAGGGTATTCTGATGTCTAAATGTGCAGGACAGAGGGAGGTCGTGTCTCCATAGGGCTGGCTGGCAAAAGCCTTCCCAAGGTGGCAAGAGTCATCACAGCTCAATTCACCAAGGCAGGACCTGGCCTCTGGCTCTGGAAGGCTGATCCTATCAGCATGTTTAACAAGAGGGATGAACTCTATCACTAGAACCAAAACACTGCAGACTTTAGAAATTCAGAGACTTGATAAACAGATTAGACATTGGGGCTTTAATGAGTAAAGCAGCTACTGGAGGAAACCATAGCTTCCTGCTGCCTGGGCCCTTTTTATTTGTAGTACTTTATTTAATTTTCCGTATTCCCATCACATCTGTAGTTATCAGAACCTTTGTCAATCCACTGGATTTGAGAAGTGCGCAAGTTATTATGTTTGTTGGTGGCAACCCATTAGAAGGGATGTAAAATCAATTTAGTGGTACACATCTGATTGCATCCTGTGTACAGTTTAACCCCAATTAATATTCTTTGAAACTTTCATTTATAGAAGAATGTGTTTACTGAGTCACAGAATGAAACACTGTTCTTATGTGGGCCTCAGGCTGAAGCCACAATGTGAGTCATTTTAAAAAATTTTTATTTGTGCTTCAAAAGCCACTCCCAAGAAATGTTTTTCTAGGCCAAGCACCTGTTTCCCCTTCACTTCCCACAAAAGAGCATATACACGTTAATTACCTTCAATTTACAATCGCTCCAGTCCCGCCAATACATGAATACGAAACTGGGGTGTTCCCAACGTTCTTAGTCATAACTCTAATTTCACTAACTGCCCGAGATTTTCTGGGATAAACGTAGTCACTCGAATTCTTTGGCTACTTTTGAAGATAAAAGTCCAAAGAACTCTGAAATGATTCTCCTTTTGGGGGATTACTTTACAGACATGAGCAACGAGCGGCAGAGGCTTGCTGATCCTGTCTGGCACCACTGGGAGGCCACCTGGAAAACCAAAGGAGAATCATTTGATGTAACAGCCAACTAAGTGACTCAAACTGAAGGCTAAATGTAAAGGATAGGCTAATTCAGAGAAAAGGCAACCACAGAAGCGCTCCATCTAACCAATTGTGAGGTTTGTGTGTGAGCTGAGGGCACGCCGGTGCGATCAGGTAGTTCCCGTGTGGGCCAGTGAAGCGCAGATGACTCGACAGCTAATTTTCAGGAGACGGTGCTTTTATATGGGGACATTCATAGTCACCCCCCTCTGGATGTAACACTTTTGTACATTTCCCTACTTGCTGGCACAACCTTTCGGTTTGTTTCACTCTAAAGCATCCTTGGTGACCGAACAAACACATGACCTTAAATATAAAGAGCCCACCCACACCTCCCGATTTCAATAGGAAAGGCCATCTGTACCCACTTCAAGCCTGGCATTCAAATGGGAACAAAGCCAGACACCCTCCCTGCCCAGAGCCACTTCGCTACTGTTTTGCTCACATGCCAGGCAACCCAGCCTTGTGCGGCCCAAGGAGCAGCCCCAAGCCAGTCATGCCATTCAGGCAGGATCTGAGCTAAGCCGGGAGAGCTCCCTGGTGTTAACAAGGCACCTAGAAACTAAGCAGCTGTCAGTGCCACAGTACCCCTTCTTTCCTGAAGGTCAGGATATGGTACAGACAGCCCTTAAGTATTCTCACTGCTACAGCTGGCATATTTTATATTTCTGCCAACTTCAAAGAGCACATTCATCTTCTTGAAATGTAACAAACACTCTTTCATTCCACAATAAGAGCCCAAACTAAACCTGGGCCACTTGCCCATTTCTGCCACCTATTGCCTGTACCCTCAGAGACATTAATCAGGGGACCTAAATGCGTGACATGGCAGCAACACCATTGGTTTTCAAGTTTTAGAGGGATGATGCACTAGCCTGGGATCTCGGCAGGGTCCACAAAATTCCCTTTAGGGTCCACTCGATTTGATCCCTTATAAAGCCCAAACTTCTTTTAAGAACGCAGAGCCAAACCCTGGAGCCTCAGAACAGATTGTTCTCCCTCAGTTGAGATTTTCAGACAGGGATAACCAACCATCACAGGCTTGCGGGGCTTCTTAGGGACACGTAAGATGAAAGCAGAAAGCTTACCAGCAGCAGGAGAGCAACTGTCGCTTGCTTCAGGAAAGCAGTTCAGCTCTGTGTCTCACACTGCAGACACCTGGAAAAGAACACAAACCTGTGCTCAAGTCTCCCTGCCACTTGGCAGAAGCCTAAGTCCAGGGCAGCGGAAGCAAAAACAACACCCCACCCAAGGCTCTTTGCAAAGTCCTGTTACATACACGAGAATAAGCCCGCCGCCTCCAGCGCAGCTGGCACACGCTGCTGCTGGTTACTGTCTCCTGGAGGATCATTTCTGCCTCACAAACCGAGGCTGCGGCTGTCCTTGGGAAGGAGAAATTACAAAAGAGAAACCTATTCAAGAAGCTACGTGCAAGTATCTCTCAAGTAGCTCGCTTTTAAATCAGGCCTAAACTTTCTATTAGGAAACCAAGTCTCAGATTTCCAAATTCCACACAGAAAGGCCTTTATGGGCCTTCAGACAGGGATAACTTTACATCATCACGGACTCGGCTCCCCCCAGCTTGCCAGCCCACAGCACAGGCAAACTTAATTTTTTTTCTTACCAAATTCTGCTTTACTTTCCTTGTGAGGACTCTCAATGTTGTCTACTTTATTAGAACGTGCTCTCCCTCAAGGGCAAAAACTGCCCACAGCTAGTGCTAGATGGACCCAGCACCCCAGAGCTGACACACTGACAGTTCCTTTCCCTTTAAAAGATGGGAATCCCTCAACACAAAATGTCTGATAGCTGAGTATGGGGTATATATTTTAGTGTCTTTCTAGTATCAGTAAAGTGACCGACACAGTGTGGATTACTCTTTTCAGAAGACCAGCCGCAGAAAGGCTACCTGACGCCAAGAGGCAACGACATCACACAAGGTCACGTCTCGTTCACTCCCCTTTGTGTACAAAGCGATCCTGCAGAGCAATCATGCTGTTTTCAGTTTTTTTAAGATAGAGGATTACAGATCTTCCCTGAGAGCTACTTAAAAACAGCCAGTACTATAATCTTGCTATAATAAAAATCCCTGAGCCAAAAGTAGATCTGATCTGTTAAACTGCCACACGTGACTCTTGGGCCCCACTCCAGAGCCACTTAATTATGGCTGGAGGTGGGGTCTGGGAATGTGAACATTTTCACTTTGTAGCTGGTTCTGACGTGTAGCCAGGTTTGAAAAGGACTAACCCTGTTTTACAAATGAAGAAATAAGGCTCTGGTACGGTTGTCTGGTAACAGGCTGAGACTAGAGCCCACATCTCTCAACTTAGTCTAACACAGGGTTTCCACCTCCGCTCTACTGACATTTTGGGTGGATAGTTCTTTGTTGTAGGAGCTGTCTCCTGCAATGTAGCACACTTACTGGCCTCCACTACATCCCAGTAACACCCTCTGCCCCCAGCTGAGAACCACTGTTCTAATCTAATTCAACAATTGTTGTAACAAACACTGTTTGTGAGATCGCTTGGCAAAAAGCCTAGCAAACACAGTTCCTTACCACTTCCTTATCTGGGCAGTAATAATCCCGAAAGGCCCACACATCTCCAAAGTCTAGCCCACCAATACTTCAAGGGATCAGAGCCTATGCAATTCTGTGAAAGAGCTGAAAATCTTACCGTTTATAGAAATTTCATCACGAAGACCCTTACACTGAACAGCTTAAGATGATCGTTTTCATGTGACTTTTTTTCCAAGTCCACGGCCAACACATTTAATCTGAAAGAACAATGTAGATAACATACTTTTCATTCTAACAGAAACAATCAAGGTTATTCATTCTCAAGAATGGCATTTAAAAGGCTTGAGCCTCAGCAAGTCAGGACTCGTCACAAAACACGTCCTTTCAGACAGGGATAACTTTTAAATCATCCTCAGCTCAACCTGCAACAAGCATTTCTAAACCCCAGGCACCCGGAATTCATTTCCCAAGGCTCCTTTCTCCCCCTGTATGCAGTGGCATCCATTCTGGTTTCAAACAGTGACACCTCGTGGCACAGACCCTCCTCATTTATGGATTCTGGGCTTAAGTCAACCTTGAGTCACAGAATTGAATTTAACTGCGGAATCAAGTATTAGGCCGCTGTATGCCACAGGCCTTCGCACCCTCTTGCCTTTCTCATTTGTGGTGCCCACCCAGGCCCTGCTGGCTTGCACCCATGCTTACTCCTTTTAGGGCTCCGTTTCATTACTTTTGAAGCCTCCACCTGCAGGTCTGCTGCTCGCTCTCTCTGCTGATGCCCAAGAAAGGCCTGTGGGGAGAGGAAAACCAATGAGCACGTGAGGTTCGCTGTCAAATGACCGCTTTCCAAAGTCGACCATCCCATTGTTCATTTACTTTGTTTACTATCTGTAGAATTCAGTAAAAACTAGCGACTGGGGCCGTTCTCAAGGCACGCCAGGAGGAAATCAAGTCTCCAGCCGTCAACACGCCCGAGGGGAATCGAAGAGCCGCCACTGTCAGCCCGCTCGGGGGCGGCCCTGGGAGGCCGCGGGGCCGCTGGGGCCGCAGGTCGGAAGGACCCCTCACCCCAGGACGGACCCTTGGACGCCGAAGGCGGGCTTGGGCGCTCTCCCTTCAATCACAAAAACTCGCGCCGTTTGGAAAGCGTTTTCTCATCCGGCATCTCAAGCTAATCCTCCAGCCACCCTCTAAGGAAACGGACCAGTTGACCGTCACCCTTTTGCCTCTGAAAAAGGGGGGAAGCCAAATGTCCTAGCGCCGCGTCAAGGAAGACCCCGTTTTCCCACCTCCGCAGCCTCTCTGATCGCCACAGGCCTGAGGCCGCCCGCCGCCCTCGGGTCGGAGAGAAGCCGCCATGACTTCAGCCATGAGGCCGGCCTCGGAGACAGAGCGGGGCCGCGCCTGCGCGCAAGCCTTCCCGGCAGTCTCGCTGGAGCTCTCGCGATGGTGGGAAATAAAAAAGCTTCATAGGAAACGTAGTCCAAACAGCCGCCGCTGGCGGGAGCTGCAGTCTCGGCGCGAGTCTGGAGCCGGGGGTAAGAGGGTGGCCGCCACCAGGAGCGGTAGCGGGCCTGGGGTGGGAGGCCTGATCTTTGAAGAGCCAGGGTCGTCAGAAAATGACGACAGACGGTCGCTTTAGCTTCGGAGTGCGCAGGTGGTCCCTGGCCGAGAGCGCAGAAAGTTCAAGGAGGCCTCAGTAGGGAGACCCCTGAGGAAACTGAGGCACGGCCGGGTTTCTTCTTCCCTGCTCTGTGGATTTAATTTGGGGGCGGGAGGGGTCAGCCGGGGTGGTCGGTTGCTCGAGTGAAGGGGAGGGAGAGTGAGTCCCAGAGAATGGTTCGACCTCCCGCTCAGCTGCTTTCCAAGCTGGGGCCCGGGCGGCAGAGGGCGCCCGAGAGCTGCGGGCTGGAGTTGCTCTCAATTACCCTGAACCCGGGATGCCAGCCTCCCGCTGGCAGATCCCGCCGCCTGTGTGTGGCTTTAATGCCCAGAAGGAAAAATAATTGCATTATGAAAAGAACAGAGAATAATGGGCCGCCCACTGCTCATTCTTTTTTTGTTTCTTCCTGTGACTCCTGAATGTTATTTTTTCAGGCCACCATCCTGGCTTCGTTTTTGAAATAACAATGGGGCAAAACAACTAGAGTCAGGGCCAGAATTTACACATACTCGGAAATTAGTTTAAATTTGCAAGACTACTGTAGCCTTCTCTGTATTACTCTCTCCCCATTCTCCTCAGTCCTTTCGCAGTGCTCTCTCCCAGTGGTATCAAGTCTACATTATGCTCTGCATATGGTGATATGTTGCAGGTGCTTATTTTCAAGTTAGCACATTTGTTTCTGTTTGACTCCCTTAATTTGATTGTAAGCCCTTCTAGGCAGGAGAAGTCTTTTAATTATTACTTTTTTCTTTTTAATTTCCTTGCGGTGCCTAGTTGGTATTCCACTGCCTCTGCTCACAGTAAGTACTCAACAAATAATCATTAACTCACTTAGCAGTAACTTCTGTCTTGTGAAATTGGCCTTTAAGTTTCTGTCTTACCCTGGAAGACATGATTCTGTATCACACTGAAAGAAAAAAAGGGTCCCCTCCCTGCAAACAAAGCTTCCGTTTCGGACTTGCAGAATTTCAAGCGTGGAATTTGCCAGAAGCACTTGTGAAAATACAGTGGTAGGCAGGTAACCTGCTGCAGGCAAAACAATGATAGCTGATACTTCATAGCACTTACAAGGCACTTACTTCATTCACTACTTGAGGGTTTGGTGTGTATCACTTCATCCTCACCACTGCACCGTGAGGTGCTCTGTCACCATCCCGCGTGCAGATCAGGTAACAGAAGCATTGAGAGATTGGTTACTTGCCCACATTCACACAGCTACTACCTGGGGCGGTTAGGGCTTAAACTCAGCTTGCAGAGTCTGTGCTTTTACCTCTAAGTTGTAGAGCACCGTGTATGTGTATAAATTGATCTTCTATATAGGGGTTTTTGGGTTGGGGGAGCCAGAAATGAGAGGGAAGAAGGTTTTTGTGTGTTTGCGAGGGTGGTTAGGGATGAAACGGGAGACCAGGTCAAATGGGGTGGGTGGGGGTGATGGGCACCTGTTTCTGTGTTTTGAGCCACTTTATGGAGGGAGGCGTGAAGAGGAGAGGAGATGGCATGGCTCTGGGCGTGCTTGGTGGAACAGCAACAGGCTCACGGCAGATAGAGGGGGGTGGTCACAGGCTGCTGGGCAGCGGCCAAGAGCCGGGAGCAAAATGCAATGAGAGGCCTTGTGCCTGAGCACATGTCAGGTACACTGCGTAGGTCATCTCGAAATAACTGGGGGAGACTTCAAAGAATGCCTCAGAATTCCCAAATGAGCAAGCAAGGACTCAGAGCTGTTGAGGCTGAGTGTTAATGTTGTGATTTCATTTGCACTCAGTTGCGGTGAGGTCTAGAACATTGGAGTTTTACATACGATGGAATTATTATGTGGCTATTATTTAGCCTAGTATAGATCTATATTTATGGGCGTGGAAAGAGCCGCCCAGTCTCGTGGTAAGTGACAGAAGTAGCTCAGAAGCTGAGCAGAGCAGGAGTCCCCAGTGCTGTTCAGGGATCCCAGCTCTGTGTGCAAAGGGGAAATCTAGTCAGCTGGCCCGCTGTGTTCACGTGGTCAGCTCACCGAGTTCCATTCACTGACAGGCGTCTGAAACCCACAGTAACAGAAAACAGTCTGCGGAATGTTGAGGTGAATTTCTTAACCTGAAAAGGAATCTTTCATTTTATTAATAAGAACACACAGGAGGGTAGGTGTATCCCAAGCAGTTGGCTGCTTACATCGGGAGCAGTGGCACCAGTGACATCTGTGTGGCAGGCACTGTCAGTTGCCAGTCCTGCAGCTGTTCTTCCTCCAGATTACAGACAAAACAGAAGGCAACTGGACAGCCATGTGCTTCAGGGGAGGCAAGTCCCTCCCCAGCCCTAAGTGGCGAATCCTGATTAGTCTGCACCAGACCCATAGGATACATTTATTCCCTTTGCCAGTAATTGTTTTAGGAAAAGGTCTGCAGGCAGGTCTGCCAAGTTTGAGGAAGTTTTCTTGTTAAAAACAACATCCTCTCTTCTGGCTTTGGGACCTCATGAAGATGTGATGCCTGAGACTGCAGCAGCCATCTTGCATCCGTGAGGCTTGTTTCAAAGCAAGAGCCGAGGGTCCGTGACAGCAGAGACGGAAAGAAAGAACATGAGTCCTTGATGATGCTTTTGAACTGCTGGAATAACCAGTCCTGAAGCCCCTGCCTCAGACCTTTTGTTTTTGATTCAGACACATTTATATTTTCACATTTTAGCAGCTAATGCATAGTAAGTGTTTGCTCCTGGTCAGGCATCTCTAAGTACCTTTTTTCTTTTTTGAAACCACTTTATTGAGATCTGATTGACATACAAAAAACTGTACATATTTAATGTATAAACTTGATGACTCTAAACCTTTCTGTGCTATGTCATTTGACTCTCACAACAGCCCTGCTGTTCTCCATCTCCCTCCTCACCCCCCC